GAAACGCGAATTTTCAATTTTAGGCGCTGATGAAGAAAATCTACGAGGAGAGGTCGGATTTTGATGGAACTCTGGCTTACATTGACATTTATGGAAGACAGGTAATTTAAAAAAACAAAATGAAAACTACTGTACAAATCTAAGGAATAACTTTTAGTTTCTATTTCCACAATCAAATTTTTCAGTCAATCATCAAAGACGATAAATCTCTGCGTGATGCGTTTACGGAAAGCAAAGGGAAATTGAAGGTAAAGATTGGAAGATAGATACTTTTTTGGTAAAGATACGTAAAGATACTTTTTTGCTTGAAAATATTAAGTTTTGTAACGGTCCAGGCAATGAACTTTGCTTTCGTTGTTTCCATCCAACTCCCCTAACCACCATACAGTTAGTTTTGGCCTTCATTGTGGTCCGGCTACGAAAAGTTTCGAATTCTCCACTCAGCTCCCAAATGGAAATAGATTTCTCGCTCATTCCAAAGAGAAACACAAAATTTATCGCGTAAAACAATAATTCTAATTAATCTGACAAAAAGAAATGATTTGAAAATGAAAAAGAAACGACAACGCGGCGCTCCCGTCGACTACCTCCAAATGGCGGCGACGTCAATTGGAATGCGACGTCGCGCGAAAATTCCCATTTAAAATTTGCGACAGAAATTCAAAACGTCTCGAAAAACACTTTTTTTCTCTTTGTCATTCTCTACTATTATATATTTATTATTAAGTTTAAAATTATTAAGAATTGTTCTAATTTATAGCCTAAATTTCTCATTTTTGCTAATTTCCAGCTTCACACGACTCTCCCCGAGGGTGCCGTCATTTCGGCAGCCGATATTGCGGGAAGATCGATGAGATCACAGAGTGTTCCACCTGTTGTTGTGAGTTTAAATTTTGAAATTTACAACGAAACTATATGCAAGGTTTTATATGCAATTTCACGTTAGAATTTGTTCATGTTAGAATTTCGTTAATTTCTTGTTAATTTTCGTTACAAACAGCCAATATTTTCGGGCGTATTTTATGCTCACAAATTTTATGACAAGGGAGGTCAACTGACCGAGCCGGCCAAATCACAAATCACATGTACCATTCGACGCAGAATTTCACGCTGATTCCGAAACTGCTTTCCGTTTTTGCTAAACGTTATTCTAGCAGGAGTTATAAGCGTCTAGTTAGGACTCTGAAAATATGGGTTTTTGGGCAGCCGCCTTCTGCGCGGCCTCGGGGCCATCGCGGCCGTGGTCGAGCGGTAGAGCGTCTGTATTCGAGACCAAAGACCTCTGGTTCGAGTCCCCGTATCGGTTTTTCACATCTTTTTTTTCAAGATGTGAAAACTTGCGTTCTTTGCGTGCTCGGACATGGACTTGCTAAAATTCTGGATCGGATGGTACAGGTTGCATGTCATTTGGCCGGCTCAGCCAGTTGCCCTTCCCCTGTGAGAAACGCCGCCTTTCTGGTGTATTCAATCTTTATTCTTCGAAAGATAAATAATTCAGTGCGCCAGAAAGGGTGGGCTTTCACTTTTTAAGCAGAAAAACTCAAATTCTCTAGTCATAGCCAGAAGCTAATCTTGTCTCTGGTTTAGATATCTAGTAAGGCATAAGGCTCTTGGCGGCATGGGATACGTGTCGGTGTAGAACGTTCATTGGTAGAACGTTCGCCCGGTAAGCGAGAGGTTGCGGGTTCGAATCCCGGCGCTGAACATATTTTGTATTCCCAGTCTCAACCGATAAAGGGACCAACTGTCTCCTCTCGTGTACATACTGAAAGAACTGTTCCCGATAATCAAATTGAGACTTTACTTGAACAACAACAAATATCCTTCATTTTCTCAATTTCAGGAACGTCAAGTGAATGGATACCAGACCTATCCTGGCTCTCAATCGAGATCTCCATCGTCGCTCGATTCTGCTCCAGCACATCTCGTTTCAAGATATTCACCACCAAGAAATCGGTAAGAGAATGGATTCTGAATGAAAATTGCTAAACTTTCAAACTAGATCCTATAGCTAAAATCTACAATCTATGTGACTGTGAAAGTTGTGTCTTTCCAGCTCGACATCTCCTCAAGAGAACCAGGGAATCGTTCAATCACCCCCATCAACTCTTCCACCAGGAGAAAAGGGAGCACAACTTCAACCATGGCCTGTTGAAGTGAGGAAAGAATTGAGTGGAAATGACTATACATTCAGATCATTCAATACATTCAGATCTTACACTAGTTATCTAATTAACTAGATATGAAATCATTTCTAACACAAACCCCTTCAGGCTCCCCCACCACCCGGCTACTACAAAGTGACCACCTATCCATCCATGTACAGCCAAAATCTTCTCTATGGTTTGTTTTATCAAGATTTTGTAAGCAGAATTGCTAACTTTCGTATTTGGTCGATGAAAATTAGACATTGACTTGGTCACTGTAACAAATTTTCATGCAATAGTACAAGTGTTTTTTCAGGCATGCCACCGCACAATGGAATGTTATGGCGCTTCTTGGCCAACCCTTTCCCATTCGGATATGGGAAAACGTGGGTTGGACCGAATAAATATCACAGTTTCGGCAATTTTCACGGTTTCTACCCGGGTTACGGTGGCGGAGGAAGGTTGGTGGCGAAAAATCGAACACTCAAAGACTCCAGTAATTTTTGCTCTAGAAAAGCGCTCACTTTTTGGCACAAAAAGTATAGAGAACATTTCCCTTTTCCCTTTTTGCTTTGGATTGGACAAATTGTGACAAAGAGTGCGCCAAAAGGCGTGCGTTTGCCCAGAGCTCAGAGTACGACATCGAGCTAAAATGATCTTTGACAATGTGCAACTTAAAGCTTTTATGTGAACAAAATTTCGTATTCAAAAGAAACTTTATTTCAAAAAGCCCTTTTCAGATATATGCACTCAACCTCATGGGGACCAATCTTCTAAAATCGAGAAAAATCACAAAAATTCATCCCATTTTGGTGCTTTTTCTTATTTTTGATCAAAATTTGAAACTTTCAGAAAATCTAGTCATTTTCTTTGTTCATTATCCTTTTTTTTATTCTTTCCCACTCCAATTTTCGAATATCGATTCGCTCAACGTTTCTTTGTCGATTTCATTTCATTTTTTTTCTTTTTCTACTTTTGACTTTTCAACAATTTCGTTTTTCTAAACCTGAAAAATTTATATTGTTTCTTTTTCTAGCACTCGTTTGTACATAATAAAATTGAAAAATTTACACGAAATCGACAAGAAAAAGCACAGTATAGCAAGGTGATAGACGTAGTAAAAATGATTATTGTTTATATTTGGAATCTAACTGTCTTATTTCTTTGACTTATACTATCCGTTTGGTTCAGTCAGTCAGTTGATTCGGTTTGAAACTCATTGTTAGAATATTTCTCTTGCCTTAAACCCCCTCCATATCTGAATATCCTTTTCTTATGTGAACGGGTCAGTTCGTAAATGCAAATTTCTTTGACCTTGTCTTTGAAAAATGACCCGATTTCTTTTAATCCGTTTACCCGTTCTTTGTCATTCATTGTTGTAAAAAGGGGAACGGATGAAGAGAAGGAACAAAACGGATCTCGAAGTTTGTTTTAAAACACATTCTTCATCTAGATTAGAGTTTATTGCTTCGACTAGACGTTGAACATCTAAAATCTACGATTTCTTGATGTTTTTATCCAAAACATGTCCCCCTTTTGCCAGTTTATTTAAGACTTTTTCTCATCTTATTCTTTTCATTCAAAACCAGTTACTAGTGCCAAAATAGTGTTTTGTGTGGTCAAAAAATCTAGTTCTTTTAGAAAATTAGTGCAAATATTTGTTCATTCAAAAGTAAAGTGTGTTCCTCAAGAGTAATGCGTTTTTCAAAGCGCAAACTTGGGGAAAATTACCGTACTTTTAGCGAAAATTATTGCAAAAACTGGCGTGAAAAAAATCACGACCAAGATCACATGCACGAGAAAAAATCAAAATATATATGTCTCCTTTTAAAGATATTCAGCCGTTTAACTGATTTGGTGGTAACTTCCCTTCAAAGGTAAAGATATTCAATTTACTCGAAGTGTAAAGAGGACTACTAGTAGATAATACAAAGAAAATTAAATCAATGCAGGCGAATCAATGTATGTGTGGAAAGGCAACGAAACAAAGTCAACAACATTTCTGGGCCTAAATCCACCTCATTGCGAGTTGTTTTCACAAACTCGATTTACAACATGTCACCGGCCGTTTCCTATTGAATTCAATATAAGCGAAATGAATGGTTCACACAGAGCGCTTGAAATTTAAAATCTTACACGTCAAAACCCGATCAATCGAGAGTCTATTGACCGACTGTGTGTTAGATATTTGATTTCCATTCCATTCTCATGTGTTTTCAATCCAAACGGCAAAGGCAACACACTCACGCCTTAATAATATACAATTTATTTATTAAAAAATACCACTTTAAAACAATAGATAAAGCAAAGAATCGCCTACAACATCAATAAATTTGTGGACTCTTCCAAGGGAATAGAGGCAAGAAAATTGGTCAATTTGGCCGAATTTTTGTTTGCACTTCCGTTTCGGAAAATGCGAGCAACCAAAAATGGGTCAACCTCCAACAGCTCTTTTTCCGCCTGAAAGATTGAAAACTGTAAACAAGAACTTCACACAAAGAACTGACAAAGATCGGAGAGTTGCACAATTTAGATTTCTTGTAAGCAGCAATAGAATTTAAATCTACCGTAAATCAAGCTCAAATCTAGATGTCTTTGAAAACCGAAAACGTATTGAAGCACTTAGGTGACTACAGACAAAAAAGGCGCAAAGATTTATAGAACCCACGAGACCCACTATATTATGATTGGTCAAGATAATAAATAGAAATCTCCGTTAAAATAAAATGATACGCGTATTGGGGAAATAAAAAAATCATGATAGAGAAAACAGCAGGCTAAAGGGGGCAGATGACACAGTGGAGCAAAAATCAAGGAATCATGACTTTGAAACACAAAAACTAACTTAATTTAAAGGCGATCCCAATTGAGTCGGCTAACCGATCCGCTTGAAGCTTGTGAACCATTCTCTAATTTCATCGTTTCGTTCAACTCTTCGGCTTCCTCGCGGCTGGCTTTCATGTCGGCCAGAACACTAAAATATCATTGTAAAAGGCTTTAAAACATAAAACTGAGATCAATCGTTAAAAATTACTTCGCAAGTTTGTTCCATTCATCGCTTTTAACGTTGTTGTAGAAGCTTTCATGGAGCTCAAACATGTGCACATTTCCGACACCATCACCCGTTACAATGTATTGTCCTGAACAATTAAGGTTATTTCACGATATGGAACCAGTTGTTACACTAACCATTTGGTGAAAACGCCAATTTCCTTCCTTGTGATGCATTTCCTTCGTTCTCAAGCGAGAGTCGTGTAATGGGTTCTTCAATGTCCTCATTAAGATTCCACAAACATAACTAAACACGATTGATTTTAGTTAGTTCGATAGATCCACTCACAGTTCCATCAGCATCAACAGTAGCAAAAACAGCAGGGTGTGTGGGTGACCACTGTGCATCATAAACATATTCCGAATGTGTTTCAAAAGAATAGCGCAACAGTGGATCCTAGAACGACTAAAGTTCCTTAACGAAAGTTTAAATAACCTTGATGCTCCATAATTTGATGCTCCAATCACAAGAAGCGGAGAGGAACAAATGCGAAAAGTCGTACTGTCCATTACCAGGAGCTCGATGGAAAGCGACAGAAGAGATTGGAGCAGAATGGCCTAAAAGATAGTTAGACCAAATATGTTGATGAATTTTACCTTCAAACACTTGTTGCTCAATATCTTGATTTGTGGTTGTTCCATGACGACTCACAAGGTAGATCTGGCCATCTTCGGCTCCAGCAACAAATGTGTTGAATTCATTTTGGGGAAATGACATTGAAACTACGTGAATCTAAAAAACTTGAAATAATTCTGTCAACAAAATAAACAAACCGCCTTGCTTCCGTTCTTCGCCTGCAAATTTTTGGTTTCAACGGGTTGAGCCAGATTATCCACATTCCAACTGCACATTTTTCCATCGCTTGAAATAGAAACCTACAAATAAAAATCACATTTTTAGCGAAAGAAATAAGATACCAAATTATGTGCATTGTGGCTGCCAACAACTTGAAGAGCAAAAATTGGTTGTGTATGCGTGTTCGTCGATAGCTGGGACTAAAGAAAAAAGAATTTTTTTAAATAGCAAAATCAGTGCTTACTCGATTGATTGGGGTCCGTTTATTCACTACACGGTTGTCCCACATGCATATTTGCCCAGTGTAGCAGCCGGCCAGAATGAGATTGGCGTGAAAATGAGCAAAAGCGACAGATGTGATCCGAGTAGGTGTATGGAATAGGTAGCTAAACATCACTGTATTAAAACACATTATATAAACATACTCTGATGATTCCTTCTTGAATTTTGTATTGAAAACTGCTACAACTCCTGTTGGATCGCCTGGCTTATCCGCATTGACGCCATATCCAACAGCAAAAAGCTCCGGATTCTAAAGTTATTGTAAAAGTTATTTTGCAAAATATGTCATACTCTCTCGGAAAATGTAATAGCCAATACTTCACGCCCATTGGTCCATTTCGTATCTTGAAAACTACGGGAAAACTCCTAAAATTTGCAATATTTATTTAGCTTGAAGCCCGAAGAAATATTTCCATGGACTCACTAATTTTTCTTCTTTTGTTTGGTAGAGCATAGAGTGATCATTCGCAAGATTTTGATCGAAATCTCTCTAAACCAATGTTAATTAGGAAACTTCTTAAAAAAAACCTTTTCCGACAAAGCGCGTTCCAACATTCTTGTGCCTTGATCAAAGAATGCCTAAACAAAACGAATGTATGTGAAAAGGAAACAAAACAAACCAAGAACCCAATGGTCTTCATAATCTGTTGCTTTTCCTGTTCAGAGTAATCGGGAAGCTTTGGCTTCTCTTCTTCAACTTCTTTCTTCTCAGCCTAAAAAATATATGGTTAGCAACATCCTCAACAAGCTGATACTTCATGTGATGTTCCACGTTTGAACTTGAACCCCGGCAAGCACCGCTCGATTTCATCAGTTGGAGACCTAAAAAGAACTCTGTTAAAGTCAAAGCCATTACCTGCACAATCTCAAATTGGAAGTTAGGATCTGAACATAAAGGGTTACATGGTAAGAAATAATGTTTATATGAAGAAGCACAATCGCAATGATAGCATCTAGGTTTTACTTTTGTTTCTCAGCTTGAGCATTTGGCTAAAAGTGTGCTTTATTGCCACTGTGCTTGCTAAACTGAAAGTGTCACAGGAAACAGTGCGTGCAATGCGCTCACCCGGAGCTATCTAACCGATGGAGTGTCTGATAGTCGCTGTAATAGAAGTTATTTTTATGGCATAGGCCAAAAACACCACTCATTGATTTTTTCTGTTTAGTTTAATCTTTTAATGTTGCAGTTAAGAGCACACAAAACTCACATGTCATCTATGTATGGCTTATGTGAATGGCCCATATCCTCTTCTCCTTCCCAAGCAAACTCTTGACTCCCCATTGAAAACTCGCAAACCGATACTCTTTCGTCATCCGTTTGAGTTGTCTTGCAATAGATTGTCTAAATGAAACAGTTAAAAAAGTTATTTGAGAAAACTGACCGTGTCTTTTTGTGGAATGATGATGCTCCTCGGCTCGGTGAGCTCCAAATTGACAACACGAGACATCGATGAAGTGACGGTTTGTGAGAGATGGCTTTGTGGAACACCATTCTCCTACAATCAAAAATTTTTAAAAATGCGCGCCAAAGTCTAACCTGTGGTTTTGCTTCCGTGGAAGCATTTTTGATTGACGAGTTGGGCTCACTGGGAATTCCGACATCAGCCAATATCTCTGCTAGTTCCTGACTCGATAGGGTTGACCTTTCACCGGCTGATCCTAAAATATAAATAGTATAGCTGTGTAATATCATTTACCAGCAATAAAGCTAGGTATACATTTTAATTTAGTCATGCTTCTCAAAACTAAAAGAGTTTATATTTTAGTCGTTTTCATCTACGGATATAAGGAAACAATTACAACAAACGACAAATCTATTGGTAGTCAACTTACTTGAGAGCCACCAATTATTAACTGCAAAAATGTTTTACTCAATGTTTTTTAACGCTCAATGAGCCCTATTCAACAAAAAAATCTTACCATTCCCATTTTGTTGAAGATTTTGTGGCAGCATCGACCTTCGCCTTTCCTCATCTAGCCGTCTTCTAAAATAACAAAATAGCAAAATTACAAAAAAATTCCCGACTTCGACTCCCTCATTTCGGCCAGCTTCTGCTTCTTTCGCTCGAGTTCGAGCCTTCGTTCTTCATTATTCATCCTAAACTATGAAATAGAATTGCACAAAACATTTAAAGAGTGTTAACAATAAAGATAATGTGGCGAAATCGCAGTGTGAGAAAGCGCAAATGTTTGTTTGCTGCGAAAAAGAGCACCCAAAGCGCGCGTTTTAGAAGAGACGGTGAGTTCGAAGAAAAGGGAATGGAGCCGTTATTTTTTGTTTTTGTTCCTAAAAGTCGAGAGAATTGCAATCTTTTTAGCGCCTAGCTTTTACACATTTAGAAATTCAGAGAATATTCAAAGGGTTCAGAGAAATTCAGAGAATATTCAATTCAAAAACTAAATTGTACTTTATGGTCCAAAGGCAAAACTTTACCCGAGGCTCTGAGTTTTGTTTCTGACAGCTCACTGATGCCGAAGAAGCTAAAAATAAATGTCGAAAACGTTTGAGAAAAAAACTTATAGTCAAAACACTGCCGGACCATAAAGTATCATGTATGAGCTGTACTTTATGGTCTCCCCTTATTTTTTGGAATTTGCATGCGAAATTTTTCGGATATTCAGTTAAGAGGATGTTTAAAGGTATTGTAAATTTATTCTGAGCCGTTTTGCTCACTGGACCATAAAGTATAACTCATAAATGATACTTTACGGTCCAGTGTTTTGTTATAAATTTTTTCTAAAACGTTTCCGACATTTATTTTTAGCTTTTACGGCATTAATGAGCTGTCGGAAGTAAAATAAAATAGATTTCATTGAGATCAAAAGTTGGACCATAAAGTACAATTTAGCCTTCAAAGGATAAAAGCAACGATAAGTTATCGTTAGTCATCGGTTAAACAACAAAAATTTGTAATTTTACACGGGGATCCGGGAAAATTTAACAAATGAGAAACTTTGAAACAATACCGAACCGACCGAAAGCAAACCGACGGCTGACTGCACAGATGAAGATGATCAAAATAGGGACCATGAAGATTGCGCCACGAAAATTGCGCAAGTTTTTTTTGCGCCGCCAAATTTTGCGCTGCAAAATTTGTGCGGAAGGATTTGAGTTATTTCATTGAGACTTTACCTTGTTTTTTGATGATGCAGAATCGAATTTGACTCACAATGACTAGATGTTTTTAAATGCAAATTGATGTTGTTTGAGTGCTTAGCACACGGTTGTTTGTTGATGTTTAGATTACTCAAATGTTTGTGTTTCTTTGTTTCTTTTTGGAAGATGCATTTTGTTGTTTCTAGTACTGGATTAGCGCTAGTTTGTTCGGCGCAATTTTCGTTTTTGGCTTGAGGCGCAATTGTCATGGTCCCCAAACCGACGGCTGACTGCACAGATGAAGATGATCAATTTACGGACAATTTTGTCCCAATTCTTGAAAACGCAGGCTCAGATAATAACTCTCTGGTTATTAAAAACCACAGTCTCTATGCTTGCACGTATCTTTATTTCACATTTCTCAAATAAGATAAAGATTCTCAATAATTATTGATCCCTAGCATGATAGATGATCTAAATGTATGCGCTCTTTGGTGAACTAAACTCTTTCCCAAACAATGGGTAGTGAGAGACCCTTTCTCCTTCCTCTTTTCCCCAACCGGTACCCTCGATGTCAAGCTAGCATCCCCCTCCTCTCTTTCAAGACGACTGCCAAACGGTGAGAAGACCCACCAATGCATCATTTTTTTTCTCTTCACTCTTATAGTTCCGGTTTTCTTCGGATCATTGTGAATGAGTTCCAGTCAATGGAAGGGACGACCCGGATCGACACGCGAATATCATCTTTCATGTTGCTCTCAAATTTTTGGTGACGATGCTCAAATAGCTGAATAATGAAGGGAAAGGCAGACTTTTGAGAAGCTTGTTTTTTTATTGGAGAAAAGAGGAGACCATGCAACAACGAGTACTTTTTTGTGAATTGGGGGAAAGATGAGATGAGGAAACGCGAGAGAGAAATAAGAAACTGATAGGAAAATGAGTGGACTGTTTTCGGGAAACTTTCCGGAGATCAAAAATCGTTTTAGAACTGGCAATGTTAACTGTTGTTGAATATGGGAAATGATAGTCTAAAAGGTCAGAGATCACTCAAAGCTTGTACCTCAAAAGAAATCCATAAACAAAAGATACAAAAAAACAAAAGATGTATCAAAGAATAGTATCCTCTGTTGGGAAGATAGCGTTTTATACTTCCCACAAAATTGTCGTTTTTTAAAGTGCACCTTTCACGTCTGTCTGGGTTGCCACTAGGAACGTCCCGTAGTCTGTGCCACTTAGTTTTGTTTCATTCCCTCCCATTGGGTTCTATATTTTGTATACAAATCGATTGTGATTCTTTTATTCATCTTTATTCCTCTGGATAAACGCTAACTGTTATTCCACAAGCAAGTCAATTACGTTATAACGAGTCAATCACGTTACAACGAGTCAATCACATTATAACGAGTCAATCACGTCATCACGTTATAACTGTTGTAACGCGTTACAACAGTTACTACTACTACAACACTCTCAAATCTGTCTGGTGCAAATTTCTGGACATCAGACACAGTGGGGTTTAGGTTATACATAGCCGGGAAAAGAAATAAAAGAGATGGGTAAATGCTGTGCGTCAGAGAAGAGAAAAGAAAGGATCTTTGCTTGTGTGAATGAGACGAGTTCACGTCTCCTTTTTTTCCGTCACCGCTCCGTTTTTCCGCTTTCCGCCGTTGAAAGACCTTTACCCTTCCCTCTCCCCTTTTTTTACTTCATTCTTTGTCTAGTGTACCTCTCTTAGCCAACCTTTTCTCTTCTTTCTTCTTCTTAAACAGCTCAGGTATCTCTCTTCTGATTGAAGAAGTCACAAATATTGACATTAGTGATGAATACAGAAATCCCCTGCTGCCACCCCATCGGTGCACAGGGAATCAAAAAGTGAACTCGCAAATTTGAACTGAAGATTTATCTGCGTTGTGAAGATTTATCTTCTTTAGACAGTGCGTTGTGAAAAGTAAACACGAGAACGAGTTTCATTTGTAAGAAATCTTAAAAAAAGTCCAATCTGATTGGCCAATCTTGACTAATTCAAAAGCTAAACACTTGTAAAAAGGATGCAAAATGAGAATTTGTTTAGCTCACGGAAATATTTTTCCTTCTGTTACCTTTTCCTTTTCCTTCTCCTTTTTCCTTCCTTCTGTTGTCAGAGATTAAAATTTAAATTCTTCAAAAGAGCCAAAATCATTTTTGTGCTAAAAATTGAAAGAAACGGTTCAAGATCTGGCTGTACTTTGTGCTCAAGGAAACATAAGCTTTCTAGCACATCCAATACATTCTTGGGAGATCAAGTAAAGAAGAATCTTTATTGAATCGTTTGTGGAGACAGAACCCAATAAAACAGGTCTTGAACAATGACAATGTAGATCATTTTCCCAATCTGTTGTTCTGTAAGCTGTGAACTCAAAGCTAGAATACGTTTTTGCATATGATTCTCAGTCTCGATGTAAGAGGTGTGGCACAAATAAAACCCACAAAAAGACAAGAAGAAGCAAGCATGATCAGATTGGGTCATCACATAAAAAGGTGTTCACTCACTCGTTATCGATGTGTGGGGAAAAGAAAAGGGTGTATTGTGTGAGTGCAGGTCTGGCCCTTTTCTTGCCCTTTTCCTCGCCTCTTCACATTCAATGGGTGCCAATGGGTTTCCCTTTCCCTTTGTCTCCTTCTTTTCCGGGGTCGACTCCACCCATTCCGCTTGTTCCGCTTTCTTTCCGCTTCTCACCCTCTCAACTCTTGGATACTATAAATATTCAGCTGATTGATGGTGCCTAGTGAGTGTCTTCTTCTCATCATTTGGTGGTAAGAGTCCCATTCAACGAACTCTCAACGAATCATGCAACGATTGACTCCGATTATGTGAGTTTTCGGAAATTGGCCCTTATCTTCTGCCTAAGGACGAACTCTACCCTTTTTCTAAAGTTTACAAAAGTGCATTATCTACTTTGCCCTGTACCAAGCTACACTACTTTTTCTTGCTTATCTAAACAAATTGATTACGATAGCAATCAAAGTCCTCAAAGGCCATCATCACCTTAAACACCCAACATTCCTATCCTTTATCAATGCCCATTTTCAGTCTGTGTTCTCTCTTGGCTTTGGGCACTTGCCAATTGCCTCCAGCGGCCCAATGGCCTTTCTATGGCCGATATTTCTCTCCAGCTAAACCACTCATCACTGAGGGAGTGATGGCGCCCGTTGTCGCACCAGCCCCTTTGGTTTGTATCATTTCTTTAATTGGGCGATTAGCATTTTCTACCATTTATCTACATATCTTTTTAATGATTGATGTTCCAGTTGGCCCCGGCTCCCATTTTGGCTGCTCCCGCTCCAGTCTTTGCCGCTCCTCCGCCACCACCAGTTTTTGCCGCTCCACCACCAGTTTTCGCTGCTCCACCACCAGTTTTTGCCGCTCCACCACCAGTTTTCGCTGCTCCAGCTCCAGTGGTGAGTTGATTAAACTGGGGAAATTCTGTATTCTAACAAATAACTCTAATTGGACATTTAAACCATTTATTTTCCAGTTGGCCGCCCCAGCACCAATCCTTGCCGCCCCGGCTCCACTCTTCGCCGCTCCCATCCCACCAGTGGTGAGTTTATCATATTACTTTCGTATTTAACTACAGAATGCTATTTCTAAACCTACTACACAATGCTATTCCTACTACAGAATGCTATTTATCTTTGTTCAAAGCTCTTATTTCGAATTCCAGGCTGTCCCAGCTCCCGTCGTTGCCCCAGCTCCATTCCCCGGATACCCAGTTGCTCCCGTTGGACAAGCTCCTCCAGTCCCAGCCCGTATAAAATTATTATATAAAATTAAAAACAGATCAAAATCACAAATCGTTAACCATCATATTTCACAATTTTCAGCAGCCTTGAACCCATGCGGTGCCCCAGGATGTGCCCTTCCCCCACCACCAGCTCCTCCAGTCTACGCTCCCATCCCGCCACCACCAGTCCCAGTTGTAAGTCTTGCGTGGATCTTAAAATAAATCATCTATAGAATCTTAGCAAATTGTTAAGAAAATATATTTACTTGAAAGTTTCAGATGGCTGCCCCAGTTAGACCGGTGTTCGCTGCCCCGGCTCCAGTCTTGGCCGCCCCAGCACCCCTTCTTGCCCCACCAGCCCCATTGGTGAGTACTTTATTTAAAGAAACAAATACAGTATGGATATAGACAACCTTAAAAGAACTATTTTCAGTTTCAGAAATCTTTAACTTTTATGCTGTCTACTATATAAAAGAGCAGTCTATCTGTCTATCTGTACAGGCATTTCCTTGGCCATGTTTTTACCAATAAAGCTAAAACGTCTTTAGAAACCTTTAGAAATATATTTAATTAAAAGTTTCAGATGGCTGCCCCAGTTAGACCGGTGTTATATTGTAGTTAAAAATTTTTTAGAAAAACAAAGTTGAGTGAAAGATTTGGGAATCGAACCCGAACCGTGTGGGCTGTAGAGAAGCGCGCTACTGACTGCGCCACGGTGACAAAGAGTTGAACTCAGAAAAACCCGCTGTTAAGCAGGTTTTTTGGCTGATCTTATGGATCAGCCTTAGCTTTAACCTTTAATAGAGGAATAGAGCTTCAATAGGGGAATTTGAGATCAACATAACATTGTCAAATATTTCTGTTTGCCGTTTCCTCTTTGTTTTCATTTTTCCTTTCACATTTCACATTCAGTATTCGGGTCCAGTGGCTGCCCTTCCGCGGCCTATCTTCGCCGCTCCCGCTTTCTTTCCATCATTGGTTCGGATTTAGAAAGAAACAAAAACCTCCAAAACCCCCAAAAAATGAAATATCGAATCTAAGAAGTCTAATCTTGATTAGTTAATAGTCTTGATTAGTCAGCTCCCTCTTATCTAACGTTTTCTGATCCCTTTATAGAGTTATTGTTTTTAGGTAGCTCCAGGACCAGTCTTGGCCGCGCCGGCTCCAGTTCTCGCCCCGCCAGCACCATTGGTTTGTTGAATTATTTGTTTAAAATGCAAATTCTATATATTCTAATACACAATCTAAACTAATTTCTATAAAATTTGACCTTGTTTTCAGCTCGCTCCAGCCCCAATGGCTCCCCTCCTTGCCCCGGCACCGCTGGTATGATTTCACCTTGAGAAAATGTTAAACTTCTAACTGTTTCACATTCAGTACCACTGAATAACTATATATAGATAGCTTATTATATTTATTCATTTCCTACTTGATCCAGTTTCCTTACAATCACAATTGCAGTTGGCCCCAGCTCCAGTCTTGGCTCCACCTGCCCCAATCTTCGCCGCCCCAGCACCCGTCGTGAGTTTACTGGAGAATTGATAATTAATATTTTTCTATACCTAAATTAACATTTAAATATATAAAGACTACTATCAGCTAAGTATAGACAAAAATACCCATTTCGATTCCCAACATTTCTAGGTGCCTGCCTATGCTCCGTTCGCGCGAGCAGCCGTCTTTATTGGAGCGAACAAAGCAAAGAAAAACTGAATAGCTGAATAACTGAATATCTTTTGAAATGTCTTTTTTTTCCTCTAAATGGGTCTCACTTCATCGGTGAATTGCATTTTGATTTTGATTTTCGGTGAACATCTTTTCTGGAGATTCTTTTTGGGCATTGACAGTACCCAAAAATGGATTGCTAGGAAATTGTCTGTAAATATTTGCTTTGTTTCATTGCTTTATTTTCTATGTTTTAATCTATTCCTTTATTTGTTTTTGATGAAACTTTTGATGCAGCCAGTATCAAGAGATTGAATCAAAGACGAGAATAAAGCTATTGAGAAAAGCGCTGAATAGAAGACGCAAAACAAAGGGAAATTCAAAGTCCAAGTTTTGCAAAGAATTTTGTACTATTTTGTACTATTTTGTACTATTTTCTTTGCTAAACTTGCACAGTTTAGGCGAGGCTGAAAAGGAAACAAAGAGTCTACCAGAGTGTTGTTTTAAATCCCCAAATTTTTAAGATCAAACTATTGACTTCCACCGGTGACAATATTTTTCAAAAATTTTTTGCTAAGATTCTGAAAATGCGTGTCTAGGGGTTATTTTTGACGCTGATCACGAAACACATGTTTTTAGCCTAGGTTTCTGCACGGAAAACTAACGAAACGTGAAAGCAGCCATTTTTTTTGGCTCTGCCGCCCTTTACTAAAATAGCTGTAAAAACTTTTAGAAAAGAGATATCTCAAAACGGTTTTTACCAATCGATCCGTCTTGAATTCAGCTTTAGGATGAGCTATAAAACGTCAAAATTCGACAAATTTAAGGTACTCTCCCAAAAAATCCGAAAGGACTTTTCCATCAACCCAATAGATTGGAAGCTTTTTGGGGGCCTGGTTCGAACTAGAGTTCGAACTGTTCCTCTTTCTTATACTATTCTTGTCTTGCAAAAGTTTCCAATTCTTGATAATAACTTTTTTTTTGCAGTGAAATGAAATGAATATCAGGTGAGAGAACCCGTTTTTCTCTCTTTTCTTTCTTTTGCGAAAATGAAAGGAACAAATTGATCGATATCTTGCTGAGAAACCAATATCCCAAGCACTACTAAAATAATCAATTCAGGTTTGCTATCGTTTAAATCTATCGTTTAAGAAATATATTTCAATTCTTTATCGAGATGATGCGTGAAGAAAACGAGATTTTCTACTACGCCGCCGAGGGTTCAGTGGTAACAAATTTGTTAAATGGAAATCTTTAGATAGCTTTTAAAGATAGATAGCTTTTAAAAAATGAATTCTATTTCAGAGTGATTTGGAAAAACACATCAAGAAGTACCCGAGCTCTCTTCATAGTAAAGATCATCGAAATAGGTAAGGAAAAGATCTAGAGATTAAAGCTAAAGTTCATAAATGAATAAGTTATTAAAAACGGGTTGATAATTGGTTGATAATTAGTTTTTAAAGAAAAAAGAAATCCGAAATAAGGCCGATTCTCACTAAAACAAAATTGAGTACAGTAAAAATAAAGTAGAATCCAAAAATTTGAACACGCCTCCAGTTGAGAAAGTAAAACGCATTTTTGAAATATGATGGTTAACCATTTCCAACCAGAGTGCGTTGGATGAAAGTATTGTGTGTTCAACAAACCCATATTTTGCCTCATTTTTTATCTATTGGATTGGTGAATTGAAAACTGCCGGCTATTTCGCGGGACTCGCAGATAAAAGGGATTCATTTAGGGATTCATTCACCTTTTCCAACTGTTCACTGTATTTGATTGCATTAAGGGTCGTCTTGCTATCCAGCAACTCCCAGTACACCATTCCCAGTTTTCAATTCACCAATCCAATAGTTTCTGGAACTTCAGAAAAAATTCTGATATTTTTTTAGAATGCCAGTACATTCCAATATATTAGAGAAAATCGATGAGCAAATCGTTACAGCATTCAAGCGAAGGTTTGACCCTCAAGAAGCATTGCCAAGATGTTTAGAAACACTTTTTCGACGATCTGCAAGATCTACCGAAAATGGAAACAAACAAAACAAACAAACCGGAAGTGTAAAGAGAGCTGCGGTCAAAGGAAGGCCTCGAAAACTTAGCAAAAACTTGTCTTTTTAAATTATTTAAAGTTTCTAGAATACGAATAGGTCTCCTATCTTGCATTGTGAACACTTTTACACTTTTACATCTCACTTTTTGGCTGGAGAACCTATTTGTTCATCTTCTGACCCGATTTTATCCCATTCAAACAAAATATTTGAAAGAGTTTTTAGATTGAAGATCTTGGGGAGATTCCAAGGATTATTTTGGTACCCATACGCCTCGACCGGTTCAGTCAAACATTGTGAAAACACTTTGCAAAGTCGATGCTATCAAAAAAGATCCCATTTTCCTGTGTTCAATGAGGTCTTTTGTGACTTTTTCATTCATGAGTTCACAAGCTTTTACGTCACCCGAAACTAGTTCATCCGAAAAAAGGTGTGTCCAAACTTTTGGATGCCTGAAAAAGCCTTTTGGACTCATGGAAAACGACCCAGGAAATAAAAACTACAAAAGTTGAAGTAAAATCAAAAGAAGTTCCAGAAACTAGATAAAAAATGACAGAAAATATGCGTTTGGTGAACAAATAATACTTTCATCGAACGCGGTCTTGGTGCGTTTTACTTTCTCAACTGAGGTTGTTTCCAAATTTTTGGGCTCTACTGTAACTTTTGATTAAGTTTTCTGTAAAATTAATAAAGTAAATCGTTTTATCAATAATTGCCCAGGTATTAAAAGGTGAAATCGTGTTTTTTAACCAAAAAGGAAGCTCCCTATACCGGACAGGTTTGCCAGGTCGTGCGCGAAAAAACACTTTGCCGTGTCATTTTATACAGTGATTTTTCTTTTGCTTTGTAGATGGCCTTAAATGAAGAGATTCAGCTGGAAATTTGTGCAAATTATATGTGTTGTGTCCGATTTAGATTCCCGTCCGATTTAGATTGAACTTATCGCGGACGTCCGATTTAGATTACAGTATATATCGGACACAACATATATAAGATTTAGATTGAATCTAAATCGGACGTCCGATATAGACTGTAATCTAAAGTGGACGTCCGCGATAAGTCCAATCTAAATCGGACGGAAATCTAAATCGGACACAACATATGCATTACTACAGCCAACTGCCGATAATTTGGTTTTAGTGAGAATCAGTCCTAAATCAGGCTCTTTTAAAAACGCAGTTTTTTTCATTGTCAAATCCATGTATTTTTAGAACTCCGCTTGCCCACACTGCACTCACCGACAAGGAGAAAAATGCACAATTGTTGTTAAAGTGGGGAAAATAATATTAGAATAATACTAGAATAATTTGCAGTACGAAGCAATCACTAAATTATCAGAAAACAAACAAAAAAAGAAAAGGTTTATCTTGGTGAATTCGAATGATTCTTTTAGAAAAGGTTTATCTTGGTGGGACGAGGATTCGAATGGAGGAACGGCCATTCATTGGGCGACAAAATGTGCATCGATTCGTGTAATTCGAATGATTCTACAAAATGGGAAAACACCGACGGTGGGTCAAACCAAAGCTGGCCAAGCCAAAACGAAATCTGGCTTGGCTAGCTAGATCTGGCTTGGCTAGCTAACTAAAACTTAACTTCAACGTAAACTTGGTCACTTTCAGGGAATTCCGCCATGTTTGTTGAAAGATAAAGACGGCGTAACACCAATTCATATCGCTTCTCGCCGACCCAACGATAAAGTTCTCAAAGTGAGCGGATTTCTTATTTGAAAAACTTTAAAAAAATGTTTTCAGATTCTTGTGGAGACATTGAAGGAGAAAGTCACGAAAGAAGAGCTTTTACTGGACACAAAAGGAAGAAGTCCGATTCATTATGCGGCGGCGAGTTGCTCATATGAGTGTTGTCAGTTGCTGATTGGTGAGTTAATAAAAACGGTAGTTGACCGTGCAATTCCCTCAGCAATCAGCGATTGTAAGTGAGTGATTGTTGATTTATCTGCAAAGGTAGAAAAGCTTTTGAATCCTGAGAAGAGAATGTCAGCTGGTGGCCAACTGACATGTGCCACGGGTTAGATGCAGAATTCAACGCCGATTCCTAATGTTTTCCGTTTCTGTTATGGAGTACTCTGTTAAAAGTTATAAGCATGCAAAATTTTGTATGGGATTTAAAAAACCATCTCTTGAGTTTATAAGTAGATATCCCAGATGTTTAAAGAAGCAGTGATGGCTGAGTGGGAGTGGGTTAGAATACCAGGCAAACTCTCTAGAATCTCTAGCAAACTCTAGTTCGAGTCCGCCGTTCGACTCCTTTCTTTTGCTTTTTTTGGATTTGCAAATTTAATTGTTCTTTGTTTCAAATACAAGTTTATTTTAAACTAGTTCTCATAAAAATCTTTACTTTTAACTATTAAGATCAAAAAGTTATCATTAAAATTCAAAAAAATAACATCAATGATGACATCGTTGATGAAAAGATGAAAAGGGAAAATAATAGTTTGACTACAGTAACGACAGGCACATGTCATTTGACCACTACACCCAGTTAACATTCCCTTGTGAGTCAGTGTTACTGTTTTAAGTGTTCAAGTGCTTCACTCCTTGCCAGTCACTCGTTGACGAAAAGATGAAAAGGGAAAATAATAGTTTGACTACAGTAACGACAGGCACAAGACTCTCCGAAATCTGCTTATAAATTCGAGTGATGGTTTTTAAAATCCCATACAAAACTTTGCATGCTTATAACTTTTGACAGAGTACTCCATATCAGAAACGGAAGGCAGATTCGGAATCGGCGTTGAACTCTGCGTCGAATAACTCGTAGCACATGTCATTTGACCACTACACCCAGTTGACATTTCCTTATGAGTCAGTGTTACTGTTTCAAGTGTTCAAGTGCTTCACTCATTGCCAGTCACTCGTCAATTCGCTTCTCAACGACCTAATGATAAAGTTTTATTGAATGAACAAAAAGTTGCATTGATATCCTTTGAAAGCATTTTACTTCTAGATTCCGAAAATCTAAACCTTTTGGTCGATCAAAAAGATGTTTACATGCAGAGTCCGCTGATGTGCGCGGCTGGGGTTCGACTGCCACAAGGTATTGTAGTTTAAAGAAATGGAACTTTCGAAGCGTTAGGTGGAACAACGTAGTACTGTCAAATGATTACAGTAACTATCTGTTCACAAGTTGACCAAGTTATCTTTTGTCGCATTTAAGCTGTCAATGTGGTGCTTCTTCTCGGCAAACGAAAACCCCCAGCACTTCCACATCGAACGATTGATGGACAAACTGGTAAGCTGAAATCAAAGTCAGCTTTATCAAGGCTTAAAACTCGAAATGTACTTGTCTATTGTACAATTCAAATTACAGTACTTCAATGAGTTAGTGCCGAATGAAAATCATGTTTAGCGCTACATTTGGCTGTGGCCGCTGATAATATTCCAGTTGTTGATGCACTTTTGAATGAACTTGGAGCGCCAATACATGTAAGATTAACCATAAATAGCTGAATATCCATACTTTATTAACAATTTTCTCTTTCAGGTTCACGACAACGACTACCGTACCCCGTTACATTATGCGGCTGATATGGGAAATTTGAATGCTATCGAGAAATTGACTGCGAAAGGGCTGAAAAACACAAAAGATCGGTAGGAATTTGGAAAATATGGGAAAAATACTAGCAAGAATCCTTAAAATAACGAAAACTTACCATTTTTATTATTTTTAGATTTACAAACAAAATGAAATGAGAAAATTTTGCTTTTCTTTAGCTTCAACGTCTCTTGCGCCCATTATGCAGCTCAAAATAGCGGCAAAGCGATGGCATTGTTGTTGAAAACGCCAACTGGAACATATAGAGTTAAGAGAGATTATATTATATTTGTAATTTTCTTTAGGAAGTCAAAGACGGCGAGAATCGGAGTTGTTTTATGTGGGCGGTGGTTGCGGGGAATATCGACGCAATCGAGTTTCTTCTTCAGAATTGCCCGCCAAGTCGCCATGAAATCGTAAATTGTTCACATTACTTAGGACCGATTCAAAACCAAGTAGTACATCATTTTTTTTGTACAAATTTATAGCCCAATTCTTTTTATACCATCTACAAAGCAAGAGAATGACTGTAAATGACTGTCGAGGTGTTCTTTGTGTGCACGCACTAGCGATCGCCATCTGGCAAACCCCTCTGGTATGGGTGAGAGACTGAGCCCGCCCCGAAGTTAGGAGTTAAAGACCAAAAATCAGTCACTTCTTTGTAACCTACTTGATCCAGTTTCCTTACAATCACAATTGCAGTTGGCCCCAGCTCCAGTCTTGGCTCCACCTGCCCCAATCTTCGCCGCCCCAGCACCCGTCGTGAGTTTACTGGAGAATTGATAATTAATATTTTTCTATACCTAAATTAACATTTAAATATATAAAGACTACTATCAGCTAAGTATAGACAAAAATACCCATTTCGATTCCCAACATTTCTAGGTGCCTGCCTATGCTCCGTTCGCGCGAGCAGCCGTCTTTATTGGAGCGAACAAAGCAAAGAAAAACTGAATAGCTGAATAACTGAATATCTTTTGAAATGTCTTTTTTTTCCTCTAAATGGGTCTCACTTCATCGGTGAATTGCATTTTCATTTTGATTTTCGGTGAACATCTTTTCTGGAGATTCTTTTTGGGCATTGACAGTACCCAAAAATGGATTGCTAGGAAATTGTCTGTAAATATTTGCTTTGTTTCATTGCTTTATTTTCTATGTTTTAATCTATTCCTTTATTTGTTTTTGATGAAACTTTTGATGCAGCCAGTATCAAGAGATTGAATCAAAGACGAGAATAAAGCTATTGAGAAAAGCGCTGAATAGAAGACGCAAAACAAAGGGAAATTCAAAGTCCAAGTTTTGCAAAGAATTTTGTACTATTTTGTACTATTTTGTACTATTTTCTTTGCTAAACTTGCACAGTTTAGGCGAGGCTGAAAAGGAAACAAAGAGTCTACCAGAGTGTTGTTTTAAATCCCCAAATTTTTAAGATCAAACTATTGACTTCCACCGGTGACAATATTTTTCAAAAATTTTTTGCTAAGATTCTGAAAATGCGTGTCTAGGGGTTATTTTTGACGCTGATCAAGAAACACATGTTTTTAGCCTAGGTTTCTGCACGGAAAACTGACGAAACGTGAAAGCAGCCATTTTTTTGGCTCTGCCGCCCTTTACTAAAATAGCTGTAAAAACTTTTAGAAAAGAGATATCTCAAAACGGTTTTTACCAATCGATCCGTCTTGAATTCAGCTTTAGGATGAGCTATAAAACGTCCAAATTGGATAAATTTAAGGTACTCTCCCAAAAAATCCGAAAGGACTTCCATCAACCCAATAGATTGGAAGCTTTTTGGGGGCCTGGTTTGAACTAGAGTTCGAACTGTTCCTCTTTCTTATACTATTCTTGTCTTGCAAAAGTTTCCAATTCTTGATAATAACTTTTTTTTTTGCAGTGAAATGAAATGAATATCAGGTGAGAGAACCCGTTTTTCTCTCTTTTCTTTCTTTTGCGAAAATGAAAGGAACAAATTGATCGATATCTTGCTGAGAAACCAATATCCCAAGCACTACTAAAATAATCAATTCAGGTTTGCTATCGTTTAAATCGTTATCGTTTAAATCTATCGTTTAAGAAATATATTTCAATTCTTTATCGAGATGATGCGTGAAGAAAACGAGATTTTCTACTACGCCGCCGAGGGTTCAGTGGTAACAAATTTGTTAAATGGAAATCTTTAGATAGCTTTTAAAGATAGATAGCTTTTAAAAAATGAATTCTATTTCAGAGTGATTTGGAAAAACACATCAAGAAGTACCCGAGCTCTCTTCATAGTAAAGATCATCGAAATAGGTAAGGAAAAGATCTAGAGATTAAAGCTAAAGTTCATAAATGAATAAGTTATTAAAAACGGGTTGATAATTGGTTGATAATTAGTTTTTAAAGAAAAAAGAAATCCGAAATAAGGCCGATTCTCACTAAAACAAAATTGAGTACAGTAAAAATAAAGTAGAATCCAAAAATTTGAACACGCCTCCAGTTGAGAAAGTAAAACGCATTTTTGAAATATGATGGTTAACCATTTCCAACCAGAGTGCGTTGGATGAAAGTATTGTGTGTTCAACAAACCCATATTTTGCCTCATTTTTTATCTATTGGATTGGTGAATTGAAAACTGCCGGCTATTTCGCGGGACTCGCAGATAAAAGGGATTCATTTAGGGATTCATTCACCTTTTCCAACTGTTCACTGTATTTGATTGCATTAAGGGTCGTCTTGCTATCCAGCAACTCCCAGTACACCATTCCCAGTTTTCAATTCACCAATCCAATAGTTTCTGGAACTTCAGAAAAAATTCTGATATTTTTTTAGAATGCCAGTACATTCCAATATATTAGAGAAAATCGATGAGCAAATCGTTACAGCATTCAAGCGAAGGTTTGACCCTCAAGAAGCATTGCCAAGATGTTTAGAAACACTTTTTCGACGATCTGCAAGATCTACCGAAAATGGAAACAAACAAAACAAACAAACCGGAAGTGTAAAGAGAGCTGCGGTCAAAGGAAGGCCTCGAAAACTTAGCAAAAACTTGTCTTTTTAAATTATTTAAAGTTTCTAGAATACGAATAGGTCTCCTATCTTGCATTGTGAACACTTTTACACTTTTACATCTCACTTTTTGGCTGGAGAACCTATTTGTTCATCTTCTGACCCGATTTTATCCCATTCAAACAAAATATTTGAAAGAGTTTTTAGATTGAAGATCTTGGGGAGATTCCAAGGATTATTTTGGTACCCATACGCCTCGATCGGTTCAGTCAAACATTGTGAAAACACTTTGCAAAGTCGATGCTATCAAAAAGATCCCATTTTCCTGTGTTCAATGAGGTCTTTTGTGACTTTTTCATTCATGAGTTCACAAGCTTTTACGTCACCCGAAACTAGTTCATCCGAAAAAAGGTGTGTCCAAACTTTTGGATGCCTGAAAAAGCCTTTTGGACTCATGGAAAACGACCCAGGAAATAAAAACTACAAAAGTTGAAGTAAAATCAAAAGAAGTTCCAGAAACTAGATAAAAAATGACAGAAAATATGCGTTTGGTGAACAAATAATACTTTCATCGAACGCGGTCTTGGTGCGTTTTACTTTCTCAACTGAGGTTTTTTCCAAATTTTTGGGCTCTACTGTAACTTTTGATTAAGTTTTCTGTAAAATTAATAAAGTAAATCGTTTTATCAATAATTGCCCAGGTATTAAAAGGTGAAATCGTGTTTTTAACCAAAAAGGAAGCTCCCTATACCGGACAGGTTTGCCAGGTCGTGCGCGAAAAAACACTTTGCCGTGTCATTTTATACAGTGATTTTTCTTTTGCTTTGTAGATGGCCTTAAATGAAGAGATTCAGCTGGAAATTTGTGCAAATTATATGTGTTGTGTCCGATTTAGATTCCCGTCCGATTTAGATTGAACTTATCGCGGACGTCCGATTTAGATTACAGTATATATCGGACACAACATATATAAGATTTAGATTGAATCTAAATCGGACGTCCGATATAGACTGTAATCTAAAGTGGACGTCCGCGATAAGTCCAATCTAAATCGGACGGAAATCTAAATCGGACACAACATATGCATTACTACAGCCAACTGCCGATAATTTGGTTTTAGTGAGAATCAGTCCTAAATCAGGCTCTTTTAAAAACGCAGTTTTTTTCATTGTCAAATCCATGTATTTTTAGAACTCCGCTTGCCCACACTGCACTCACCGACAAGGAGAAAAATGCACAATTGTTGTTAAAGTGGGGAAAATAATATTAGAATAATACTAGAATAATTTGCAGTACGAAGCAATCACTAAATTATCAGAAAACAAACAAAAAAAAGAAAAGGTTTATCTTGGTGAATTCGAATGATTCTTTTAGAAAAGGTTTATCTTGGTGGGACGAGGATTCGAATGGAGGAACGGCCATTCATTGGGCGACAAAATGTGCATCGATTCGTGTAATTCGAATGATTCTACAAAATGGGAAAACACCGACGGTGGGTCAAACCAAAGCTGGCCAAGCCAAAACGAAATCTGGCTTGGCTAGCTAGATCTGGCTTGGCTAGCTAGATCTGGCTTGGCTAGCTAACTAAAACTTAACTTCAACGTAAACTTGGTCACTTTCAGGGAATTCCGCCATGTTTGTTGAAAGATAAAGACGGCGTAACACCAATTCATATCGCTTCTCGCCGACCCAACGATAAAGTTCTCAAAGTGAGCGGATTTCTTATTTGAAAAACTTTAAAAAAATGTTTTCAGATTCTTGTGGAGACATTGAAGGAGAAAGTCACGAAAGAAGAGCTTTTACTGGACACAAAAGGAAGAAGTCCGATTCATTATGCGGCGGCGAGTTGCTCATATGAGTGTTGTCAGTTGCTGATTGGTGAGTTAATAAAAACGGTAGTTGACCGTGCAATTCCCTCAGCAATCAGCGATTGTAAGTGAGTGATTGTTGATTTATCTGCAAAGGTAGAAAAGCTTTTGAATCCTGAGAAGAGAATGTCAGCTGGTGGCCAACTGACATGTGCCACGGGTTAGATGCAGAATTCAACGCCGATTCCTAATGTTTTCCGTTTCTGTTATGGAGTACTCTGTTAAAAGTTATAAGCATGCAAAATTTTGTATGGGATTTAAAAAACCATCTCTCGAGTTTATAAGTAGATATCCCAGATGTTTAAAGAAGCAGTGATGGCTGAGTGGGAGTGGGTTAGAATACCAGGCAAACTCTCTAGAATCTCTAGCAAACTCTAGTTCGGGTCCGCCGTTCGACTCCTTTCTTTTGCTTTTTTTGGATTTGCAAATTTAATTGTTCTTTGTTTCAAATACAAGTTTATTTTAAACTAGTTCTCATAAAAATCTTTACTTTTAACTATTAAGATCAAAAAGTTATCATTAAAATTCAAAAAAATAACATCAATGATGACATCGTTGATGAAAAGATGAAAAGGGAAAATAATAGTTTGACTACAGTAACGACAGGCACATGTCATTTGACCAGTTACAAACTACACCCAGTTAACATTCCCTTGTGAGTCAGTGTTACTGTTTTAAGTGTTCAAGTGCTTCACTCCTTGCCAGTCACTCGTTGACGAAAAGATGAAAAGGGAAAATAATAGTTTGACTACAGTAACGACAGGCACAAGACTCTCCGAAATCTGCTTATAAATTCGAGTGATGGTTTTTAAAATCCCATACAAAACTTTGCATGCTTATAACTTTTGACAGAGTACTCCATATCAGAAACGGAAGGCAGATTCGGAATCGGCGTTGAACTCTGCGTCGAATAACTCGTAGCACATGTCATTTGACCACTACACCCAGTTGACATTTCCTTATGAGTCAGTGTTACTGTTTCAAGTGTTCAAATGCTTCACTCATTGCTAGTCACTCGTCAATTCGCTTCTCAACGACCTAATGATAAAGTTTTATTGAATGAACAAAAAGTTTTATTGATATCCTTTGAAAGCATTTTACTTCTAGATTCCGAAAATCTAAACCTTTTGGTCGATCAAAAAGATGTTTACATGCAGAGTCCGCTGATGTGCGCGGCTGGGGTTCGACTGCCACAAGGTATTGTAGTTTAAAGAAATGGAACTTTCGAAGCGTCAGGTGGAACAACGTAGTACTGTCAAATGATTACAGTAACTATCTGTTCACAAGTTGACCAAGTTATCTTTTGTCGCATTTAAGCTGTCAATGTGGTGCTTCTTCTCGGCAAACGAAAACCCCCAGCACTTCCACATCGAACGATTGATGGACAAACTGGTAGGCTGAAATCAAAGTCAGCTTTATCAAGGCTTAAAACTCGAAATGTACTTGTCTATTGTACAATTCAAATTACAGTACTTCAATGAGTTAGTGCCGAATGAAAATCATGTTTAGCGCTACATTTGGCTGTGGCCGCTGATAATATTCCAGTTGTTGATGCACTTTTGAATGAACTTGGAGCGCCAATACATGTAAGATTAACCATAAATAGCTGAATATCCATAAATGGCTGAATATTTATTAACAATTTTCTCTTTCAGGTTCACGACAACGACTACCGTACCCCGTTACATTATGCGGCTGATATGGGAAATTTGAATGCTATCGAGAAATTGACTGCGAAAGGGCTGAAAAACACAAAAGATCGGTAGGAATTTGGAAAATATGGGAAAAATACTAGCAAGAATACTTAAAATAACGAAAACTTGCCATTTTTATTATTTTTAGATTTACAAACAAAATGAAATGAGAAAATTTTGCTTTTCTTTAGCTTCAACGTCTCTTGCGCCCATTATGCAGCTCAAAATAGCGGCAAAGCGATGGCATTGTTGTTGAAAACGCCAACTGGAACATATAGAGTTAAGAGAGATTATATTATATTTGTAATTTTCTTTAGGAAGTCAAAGACGGCGAGAATCGGAGTTGTTTTATGTGGGCGGTGGTTGCGGGGAATATCGACGCAATCGAGTTTCTTCTTCAGAATTGCCCGCCAAGTCGCCATGAAATCGTAAATTGTTCACATTACTTAGGACCGATTCAAAACCAAGTACCGGCAGGTAGCTGTAGTAGTACATCATTTTTTTGTACAAACTTATAGCCCAATTCTTTTTATACCATCTACAAAGCAAGAGAATGACTGTAAATGACTGTCGAGGTGTTCTTTGTGTGCACGCACTAGCGATCGCCATCTGGCAAACCCCTCTGGTATGGGTGAGGGACTGAGCCCGCCCCGAAGTTAGGAGTTAAAGACCAAAAATCAGTCACTTCTTTGTAATAAGGCTTTTTCCACCGCCCCGAATTACTCGTAGTTACTCAACAAAAAACGTCGATTAATCGAGGGAAAATTACTCGTGTAAATTTTACTCCAGTAACTACTTACTCGCAAGGAACACACTCTATTCGTGACGACGGCATTTTGGACGTACAGTCACGTATTCGTTAACGGTTTATGCGGCCCCGTGGTATAGTGGATAAGAGACTTGTTTCCAAAACAACCCGTCGAATCCTCGCTTGGGTTCGAGCCTTTCCCTCTATTTTCGTTTTATTTTGATGTTTAGTCGATTGAATTGCTCTATTTTAACTTGACAATAAGTATTATGATATCTTTGAATTGATAACAAAAACAAAAAAAATACTTTCCCGCAACGTCCCAATTCAATCCGCTCTTTCCAAAACATGAACACATTTAAAATTTTTCCTTTTCAGGACAGTCACGGTTTGACCGCTTTACATTTGGCGGCTTTAATGGGAAATGAGAGAGTGTGCAAAATTCTCATCAAACAAGGATGGCATTTGTCGGTGAGTTGAAAAAAAACTGTTAGTTGTTAGCAAGGATTCTCCAATTTTTCTCAATTTAAGGGCGGAGACAAGAACTTCGCGACTCCAATCCACCTGGCTGCGGGACGGGGACACACCGATGTTGTTTCATGTCTTGTGACAGCTGGAGCCGACATGAAAGCTGTCGATTTTATGGATAGGTTTGTTCCTGATGCTTACGAGATATTTAACTTTGTTCTCAATCCTGTAGCTGAAATCCTTAATCGATTAACGAACCTTTCCAGAACAGCCATTTTCGCCTCGTGTTTCGGTGGACAAGCGCACACACTTTATGTAATGATTAGAGGTTATTCTATTTTCTTGTTTGAGAAAATTTTGTTTTAGAATTGGGTTTTGAATGGAGAACGGCTGTGGAGAATCAGGTAAAGAAAAAGGTCGCGAAAAATATAAAAAACCATTTCCAGAGTCGTCCGATCACGGATGCAATGGGGCGAACGCCATTACATGCAGCCGCCTATGGCGGTTTCTCTCATTGTATCACACAAATGTTGAAAGTATGAGAGTAGTTTCCTCTAGTTTAAGTATGAATGGGAAAAGCTTAAAAAAACGAGTAAATTTTCCCCGTTGTCAGATCGAAGAAGAAGACCCGACAGCTCTTTGTATTCCGTTGGTCGGTGCGGTGGATAATAATTCGGAGACGGCTCTCCATGTCGCTTCATATCGAGGTAAACAAACTGATATTTACCAGGAATTAAAGCCAAATATTCAATTGACCTTGGGTTGAAATTTCAACTGTACCGTTAGATATTTGGCTTGGTTTGACCTTGGCTTTGGCTTGGCCTGGCTCTTTTTTCAATCCTGATTACTTTTCAATCTACCATACTATCAATCTATCAAAATCTTATTTTAAAAAATAAGTTCCTGATCTGCTTAACACATTCGCGACTAGAGTGTGTTTCTCGCGAGTAATGCGTTTTTTAAAACGCACACTTGCAAAAAATTAAAATTACCGTACCTTTAGCGAAAATTATTGTAAAAAATTGACGCGAAAAAATCATGAGCCTGGGTTATATCTGACTCTTTTTAAAAATATTCAGCTGTTTAACTGATTTGGTGGGAAATTCCCTTCAAATGTAAAGATTTTCAATTTACTCTACGTGTAAAGAGAATTACTCGTAGTTACTCAACAAAAAATGTCGATTAATCGAGGAAAAATTACTCCAGTAATTATTTACTCGCAAGGAACACACTCTATTCGTGACGATGGCATTTTGGACGTACAGTCACGTAGTCGTTAACGGTTTTATTGAAAATTTGGGGAAGATTCAAAGATAAATTAAACTATTATAGCCATTTGATAGCCCTATCTCCTCTTGAAAACTAGTACAAAGTTATCGAGAACTTTCTGCGAAATGAATAACAAAAGACCTTAAAAACTTGTTGACACCAAAAATATCCATCATTAGTACGGTCAGTTTTGTAACGGTCCAGAAGATGAGCCTTGCTTTCGTTGTTTCCATTCAACTCCCCAAACCACCATACAGTTAGTTTTGGCCTTCATTGTGGTCCGGCTACGAAAAGTTTCGAATTCTCCACTCGGCTCCCAAATGGAAATAGATTGCTTTCTCATTTCAAAGAGAAGCACAAAATTTATTGCGTAAAACAATACTTTCAATTAATCTGACAAAAACAAATGATTTGAAAACGAAAAAGAAACGACGACGCGGCGCTCCCATCGACTACCTCTAAATGGCGGCGACGTCAATTGGAATGCGACGTCGCGCAAAAACATTTAAAATCTGCAACAGAAATACAAATCTAACATGAAAACGTTCCGAAAAACACATTATTTTCTCTGAAGGTCATTCTCTACTGGCCCATCGGTAGGTTGTATCGTCGTGAATGTGTTAATCGGAATGATTGAAAGTTAATGGGATGTAGGATGATGAGTGTAACATGTTAAATGCTACAATATGAAAACAACTCTACAATAGAAAACCGTTTTAGGCCGTTTGGATTGTGTGTTGGTTTTGTTGAATCACGGAGCGGCAATCAATGCAGTCGATCACAATTTGAGGACACCGTACAAATGTGCGCTTGATGCTGGACATAAAGCGGTTGGGCTATGAAAAATTGTCTTGATTTTCTTCATGTTAATTGTTAACGTTTGACTCGTTTAAGGTAGCCGATCATCTGCGTGCTCAAGGCGCTCTTCTTTATGATGAATTGTGCTCTTTGGCCGCGACAATTATTCAAAATTGGATTCGAACGATTCTAGAGGAAAAGAAAATGAAGAGGAAAATCCAATTGCAAGATCCGCCGTTTGGAAATCAAAGAAAGAATAGCCAAAGGATTTTAGAGAAAAACGATTAGTGAGCTGGAATAAATTATTGTTATTTTTTGAATAAACATCTCAATTTACTCAAAACATACAGTCATTCTTATTACTATGAAAAAAGGGTACTGTAAGACTGTAAGATGAGTCTTTTTTTGAATTTAATAAGCTTAGTATGACGAGAATTTACTTAGAATCTGTAACTGAACTGTAACTGAACTGAACAGTTGCAACCGTTCAGTTTAACTGGCATTGCTTTGACTTTAAACTGTCATTGTCATTGCCATTGGCAGTCTAAAGGCAAAGAAATTGTAAAGATTGCACTAATAGCTAGATTTTAATAGGAAAGATAGAGTAATTGCTAGTGGTAATTGGTTTAGAAGTTCAGATTTGGGGAATTATTTTTCTGCTCATTAACTTGGCATCATAAATTGTCCATATCTTTTGCAAAGTACAGACAATTTTCCAAGAAGCCCATTTGCTCAAGATTTTCATAAAATAATCCTTCTTTTCTTTCTTTCTTCCTTTCTTCTCCCCCCTTGTCTTCCCCTCTTTCTCTTGACGAGTTAAGGTACGCTAGGATAGCTCAGCGATTAGAGCAATTTCCCAGGGTCGAGCAAAAGGTCTAGAGTTCAATCCCCTCTCCGGGAATCTGCTTTCACTTGCCAACTCTTTCTTTTGCCAACTCTTCACTTCTTTTTCATTGTAATCTAATCTTTCAATGTTTCCAGTTAAATGGATGATAGCTTCCCAATCGATTTCTTGCCAAGAGAGTTGAAATGCACAATTTTCAAGCAACTCAACTCGACTCAATTGCTGAGGATTCGACGGACAAATCGATCAATGAAATATGCAATAAATCGAGTTGGTTTTGAGGTTGAAAACAAAAATCTCCTTTTTTCTAGATCTCTCCAATCCCTCGTCAAATCACAACTTGTCAAATCGATATTTATGGGGTAAACATTTCAAAATCTTTGTGCTTTCACAAGAAACTTTAACGTTTTCAGAATGGTTTCGCGTGGGAAACAAATGGAGAAGATTTTCGAGGGATTTTCAATAATTTGATGTCGAAAAGTCGTTGGTTTGTTGTAGTCGGCTTGTTGTAGTGTTGAAAGAGTCGAAAGATTTAAACTAGACATTTGCCTTTTCGGTCCGTTCGTCGATAGGTGTACAACGGAAATTCACGTCTTAAACCCTTTAAAATCGATCTTTTCAAACGTTTTTTAAACAGTTGGATAGCATTTTACAAGTTCTATTTAATAGTGAAAAAAAACGCTTGAAAAAGTCGATTTTAAAGGGTTTAAGACGTGAATTTCCGTTGTACGCCCATCGACGAACGGACCGAAAATGCAAATATCTAGTTTAAATCTTTTGACTCTTTCAGCTCTTTCGACGAAATATCTCGAAAAGCGGTTCGTCGTTGGCTGATCTTTTTGATGAAACACTCGAAAATTCGCGATATTCAAATCATCGAGATGCAGGTAATCTTCATTTAACACGTTCGGGACGATTCGGTCCACCGGTGGACGAAGGCCGTCTGGCCCCTGGGGCGGTTCGGTCCACCGGTGGACGAAATTTTTGACGCGCTATAACTTTTCAACTTTTTAAGATAATTTCAAAATGTAAAAAGATTCGATTAGTTCTAATCAAGAACTATAAGGTTGCGCTTGGAGAAAGAGAAATGCGGCGTTTTGTCTCACGAGCCAAAAAGAGCCGATATCTTTTTGAGGCAGCAATATTTTCAAAATCTGATTAGAGATTCGGATTCAGCATGAAATTTTACATATAGGAGGTGTATTTCGGGGCTAATAGCTTTGCGAGACACTGAGGCAGTAACGCAAAAAAACGCCTCGCCGCGAATGTGTTAAATTCTTTTTCAATTGTTCAAATTTTTGGTATTAAACTCTCAGAAACGATCCTGTATTTTAAATTTTAGAGAAATTCCTCTCAAAAAGCTCAATTTAATCAATTTCAGTCTCTTCAACACCCAAAACTCATCGAAATCCCACGAAATTTCTATCAAATCGAATCAATTCTCCTTCAATCAAAGCACCCAACTTTTGACTTCACCGAATGGGAAAAATCTGTGAGAAATCTGAAACTTTACAAGGTAATGAATAACAATAAACTTAATGAGTCAAGTTTTCTAATTCAAAATACTCGCAAATGTTTAGAACCACTCGATCACTCTCTCGTTTGAAATCAATGAAAGTGATGAAGTTCTTGAGAAAAAAATTGTAAGTTGAAGTTTAAAAACTATGAACAACTAAAAATTAAACAATTAAAAAGACTAAAATTTATGTAAACTTGTCAAAATCAAAGATTTCCAGGTGAGTCAAGCAAAGAAAGTGAAAGTCACTCGCTTACATTTGAAAGAAACAGGCATTGAGGTGGGATTTTATTGGGTTGGTGAATTGAAAACTGCGGGACTTTGAACTAAAATTTATTCAACATAAAACCATGAATTGATTCCAAATAATTTCCATTATTATTGACGACTTCTGCCCATTTTACAGGCAATTTGCGGATTCCTCTTTCGTAGTAGGATTTTGGTTTGTGTGTGAGACAAGTGTGAGACTCAAAAATCGAGGACTGGAGATTTCCCAGTTTGTCCAGTTTGAGCACTTTCTTCAAAAGAAACCCAATTTGGTGTCAATAGAAAAGTTGTAGAGAATCAAAAGTTAGGCTTATAGCCAAATTTCCAAAAAGATACACTTAGTAGTTTCGCTTAAAATGCAAGTTTTGTGAAAATTTGAAGTTTTGAATCGTTCTGAAAATTTGGCTATAAGCTTGATTTTTGATTCTCTACAACTTTTCCATTGACACCAAAATGGGTTTCTTTTGAAGAAAGTGCTCAAACTGTCACATATGACAATAGCCCGCAGTTTTCAATTCACCAACCCAGTAAAAGAAAAATTCACAAAGTTTATTCAAAATCTGTACAAGAATTTGAAAAACTATACTCCAATAAGATTTCAGAGTCTTCTTTACTCGAAAATTCTTGATTTGGAGGTATTTATCGAGTTTGAAATGATGGCCGATTTTGTTAAGGTTTGTTTTGGCGTTTGATCATGAATTTCTTCTAATCAAAATTCAAAAAAGTTAAAATAAAATCGATAAAATCAATGCTTTATCAATTTTATTTTCTAAAAGAGTTTAAAATGAATGTTTTAATAACACGTTCTCTTCTAGAAACTATTCACAGGGAAACTCGCCGATTCTTTTCGATATCGCAAATTTCTCTTCAATCCTGAGACCTATATGGCTTATCTTTCACAGGTTTTAGATTTAAATGTAAATAATTTATGGTTATAAGTAAGTAGCAATAGATTGGACTAATAAATCTAATAAATTAACCTAACAATCTATTGTTATCTATTGTTTTCGGTTTCTAAAAGGTGAGCCCAGAAAAAGCTACTGTAAGCGAATCTGCGACCTCTTTCTGGTGGCTCCTAAGCGCCAAGTTCAACTCTAATTTGTTAAGTATTATTTAAAATATTGAAGCCCTTAATTTTGGCTACATTTATCTATTAAAAGTTTCCCGATTGGAGATGTACAACTCATTTTACAAGCTATTGAATACAACTCATTTTACAGTTGATCCCTCTCCGGCACGCTGCCATTTTCGACGATTTTCTTCAATCAGAAAGAGTTTCTTTCGGCCAAACTTGTATTTTGTCTAAAAATTATTTCAAAACAAATTTATAGCAATATAAGAAGGAGCACATACGAACTGAACATCTAAAAATACTTAATTGTCACTTTTTTCCTTGTGTCACCAAGGGAACTTGACTTCAACCCAAAATTGAGTAAGACAATTTGGTCAAAAACAGTTCTTAATATTATTAAATGATGTTAAATAATATTTTAACATAAAATAAATATCGAAAAACTTTCTCTGCGAATTTATTAGAATCAAAAAATCGTCGAAAATGGCAGCGTGCTGGAGAGGGATCAACTGTAAAATGAGTTGTATTCAATAGCTTGTAAAATGAGTTGCATATCTCCAATCGGGAAACTTTTAATAGATAAATGTAGCCAAAATTAAGGGCTTTAATATTTTAAATAATACTTAACAAATTAGAGTTGAACTTCTTGGCGCTTAGAAGCCACCAAAAAGAAGTCGCCGTAAATACTGAGCACCCTATATAGGCAAGAAGTTACAAAAGAAACAACATGCAGCCAGCTACAAAAGAAACAAGATATAAAACTATCGTAATCTTTCTCAAAGTTACTCTTTCAAGAGTTGAAACGTTTTAGAAATCAAATGTGAGCTATAATCTTTCTTTTTGAGGGTCGTGAAGAGCGGGTTTTTCTTTGGGAAAACCCATCAATTCTCTGGTCTTGTCTCACGCATTTTGTTCTAAATGAACCAAAGGAATTCTCGGATTGTTTGAAATGGAAAAACGATGAGAATCTCCAGTATTCACAGATCATTCAAATTGGTCATTTCTTGAAGTTTTCTCGAATGAAAATTCATTTCGAGGGGAGTTTTGTCGGGATTTTCGTTGAGCTTTTTGATGCTTGTTGAAAGATTTTTGAGTATACAAAATTGTGAGGTCTCATTGTGATCATTTTTCTCTATTGTTTTTCAAGTTAATAAAGCTGGAAAGTGCTTAATGTTTCTCTCTGTGGCGAATTGCCACTGCTCTGCAGTTAGTCAAAAATTCAATACAAGTTAAAATTCAAAGTTAATGGATAAACTACCGTAATCAGTCACTAGATGATATTCAGCTGTCCGTTTGTTGTAGCTTGTATACTCAAAAAACCCGTTTTTTAAGCTTTGCTTTTGAGTGAGTTTTTGTTCTCCTTTTTTGCTTTTTATCATCCCTTTTTCAAATGCAAGTGTTGAATTAATTGTGATAGTGCCAGGTTGCTCTAATTTGAGCGAAGTTGCCCTAATAAGTGAAAGTTGGATAAATTGTGCGTTTTCAAGAAGACCACTACTGAACCAACTGCGCATCAACATATATTTCTTACACTCTCTAACTTTTTAATGTTTAATTAATCTATTTATTGTGTCGAAAATCTTTAT